CGCAAAAAAAAAGGGGTGAAGAAGCTGCTGTAGGAGCCGGGGGGGCTTGGAGGTGGTGGGGTGTCTCCCGCGATGGGCTTGGCCCCATCTGGTCCTCCCCACGGATGCTCCCGTGGTGTCTTAGCTCTTTTTTTGGGGTGGTTTTGTTGCTCTTGGTGGCCGACGGGTGAGAGCAAAGCGTGGGGGAAGGGACCAAAAACTACATCCTGGTGCTGGGAGAACTCTTGGGGTATTGAGACAGAAGAAAGACCTGACCCCACGAAGGATCCAGATGGAAACTCCTGCAGTGGTGCCACCACGTGTCACCTTGAGCCCTGTTGCGGTGTGAGAAGAAAGGTCTCCTTGGGCTCGAAAGCCACACTGAAGCGAGAAGGGCTGGGAGATGTATGTGAGATGTCCACGCCAGCGTGGGAAGCTGGAAGACGGCCGTCTCCTGAGTTGCGGAGAAGTTGGAGGATGGAGATCTTGGAGTGAAGATCATGAGTGTCTGTAGAGAGCTCTTGTTTCTCCCCGTTTCTCCTCTGGAAACCATGAGCCCCAAAATCTTGTTCCCTTCCTCCAGCATCAGCTTCTCCTTCACGGCGACGCTGGAAACGCTGCTTTAAGGAGTCGCGGTGTTTCGGGGATGATGGTTGGAGCACGGCGGGCTCCTCTCTGAGTCCTCCTGGAGCTGTCCTTGCCTGTCAGACCGGCTGAGCTCCTCTGCTGAGGTGGCCTCAATCTTCATCCCTGTCCCAGCATGGCCTGATGGCCATCCATGGATGGATTTGGGGTTTCACTCAACGGTGGGAGCTGGACCATCGCTGCTGTTGCTGGAGGAGATCAAGGGCGGTGGGGTCAGAGGAGAAGGGTTGTGTCCTCCACTGAGAACCAACTCATGAAGCATCTTCTCCTTGTCCCCCACCAGGTCCCACCACGGTGAGCAGAGACACGGAGGTGTCCGTTTTGCAACGGCAAGACCCCCCGCACCCACCCAGCACCTTCCAGGGCATCCCGGCGATTGGGACCCCCACCCGGAGAGGGACCCACCAGCGACAGATCCCACGGGATCCCACCACCTTCCCACAGCCCCTCGCCCAAGGTCCACCCAGACCAGCGGAGGACACCAGGAGCCTGGAGAAGCCCTGGGTGAAGCGGGAGCCGTCGGCACAGGGGAAGGACCGTCCATACCCCTGCGGCGAGTGCGGCAAGAGCTTCGGCCGGTTGACCCACCTGAAGACCCACCAGCGAACCCACACGGGGGTGAAGCCCTACGCCTGCGGGGCTTGTGGCAAGAGCTTCGGCCACCTCTCCACCCTCACCACCCACCAACGGCTGCACACGGGTGAGCGTCCCTATGCCTGCGGCTCCTGCGGCAAGACCTTCACCAACCCGTCGGACCTCAACAAGCACCAACGGTCGCACACGGGCGAGCGACCCTACCCCTGCGCCGCCTGCGGCAAACGCTTCAGCCAACAGTCCAACCTCACCATGCACCAACGGAGCCACACCGAGGAGCGACCCTACCCCTGCGGCACCTGCGGCAAGAGTTTCAAGTACTTGGCGGACCTGACGGTGCACGAGCGCTCGCACACGGGCGAGAGACCCTTCCCCTGTCCCCACTGCGGGAAGAGCTTCAGCAACAAGTCCTCCCTCGCCCGGCACATGCGCATCCATGCCCGGGCGGCTGCCAGGGACAAGTGATGGGGTTTGGTGGGGGGATGAGGATGAGGAGGGTGGCACCGCTTCATCCCAGTGAAGGAGGTGGTGATGGGTGACCACCATGGGGGGACGGTTGAGGTTGGGTGGGTGAGGTGGACCGGGTGGTTGCCCCGGATGGCCGGTGCTGGTCTCCTTGCCAGCTGACACCACGGATGGACGGGGCAGCCCGGAAGAGATGCAACATGGATGGGGGGGACGATGAGCTGATGACTGATGTCCCCCGTGAGCCCAGTGGCTCCAGGACAAGGCTCCCCGGTCCCAGCGATGTGACGTGGATGGGGGTGACGATGAGGTGATGATTGATGTCCCCCAAGAGCCTGGTGACTCCAGGACGCACCTCCTGGTCCCAGGGGAGATGCAGTACGGACGGCGGGATGATGAGCTGGCGATTGATGTCCTCCGTGAGCCCGGTGGCTCCAGGACGTGTCTCCCTGGTCCTGGAGGAGATGCAACGTAGCTGGGCGTGAAGACGAGCTGATGACTTACGTCCCCTGTGAGCCTGGTGGCTCCTTGGTCCCTCACCCATCTGCAGGCATGTCCATCTCCCCTCCACCTTAACCCCGCCACCGGGACACCCCGTCTTCTCTTCCAATTGGGCATCTCCAATTGCAACTCACCTCCTTCCCC